ATATTTTAATCTAACAGGTTCTATATCCTAGCTAAGTCAAAGACTTAAAAAAAATAGTAAAATTTCACTACCATCATTCACTATTTAAGTTACATAGGATTTTAATAGGAGGCTATGATGAAATTATGAATTAGGTTATTTGTAACATCATCATTTCAACTGGTGTTAGTGATATATTATTAATTGATGTTGGATGATGTTGGAAAGTATTAAGGAGGATTTTAAGGTGTTTAGTAAAGTTTTGGTGCAGAGGAACCTTGCTCAAGCGAGATATACCTCGCTCAGGCGAGATTGCACGCCCAGGATTATCCCTTTCTAGAGCATTCTCGCTCAAACGAGATCAATCTCACTCAAGCGAGACTAGATTAGATTGCCCCAACTGTCACCTCGCTCAGGCAAGTTGGAGCTCGCCTAAGCAAAAAATCACAGGAAAATCTGGAACTCTCTAGACACCCAGCTCGCTCAAGCGAGAAGAGTCTTGCTTAAGCAAGAATACTATAAGATGAGTAAGGAACCACCGTCTGCATATCTCACCTAGGCGAGGTACTCGTCGCTCAAGCAAGAATTCTTCGCCCAAGCGAGAGCGCGCGAGTTTAGGGTTATTTAAGAAATCTTAAAGGTAAAATTTTCATTTCTCTCAATCTCTGTCTCGACTTCTCTGAGTTCTGACTCTCTTTTCTTCTAAAAATCCCCTCTAAAGTGTGATTATTAGCCGAATCCAAGCTTGGACGCCTAATCTAAGTAATCCCAAGTAAGTTTTTTTTTTATTTTATATCTCGATTTACTGATTGTTTCTGTCCAAGTTCTATTTTTAAAGGTTATCTCGTGTTGTATAGGAAGAACCTTCGTTTTAAGTGATTCTCTTCATCAAACTCCTTCTAAATCTTCATATCGAGGTAAGGAGAATCCAATTCTATCATAAGAATATAGAAATATTTATACTCTTGAAACTCCAGTAGTGTTTGTTTCTATTGTGAAATTATATAGATATAGGTGAAAGTTTTAAGTATTATGGATAGGTTGATGATGTATATTTCTCTGAATTTAGGATGTTTAATAGGTGATAACTGATTATTTTGAGATATTATGAAATATAACTAATTATGTTATTCGATTTGAACTGAGTTTAGAGATATTCGATCTCTGGCAAAATTGTTTGATTGATAGTCGAATTTTATGTGTAAATCGTATGATGATGTGGTTGTTGAATTTGATTGAAAACTGATTATATGTGAAAATGAGTCAAATGATGAATAATCTACATGAAAAGTATATGTACTGTTGTGAAAATATTTGAATGGAACTGAATCTGCGAAATATGGAATTTTGATGAGATTGTGGAATCATGAGATATGTGTTTACAATGCAAGAATTGTAGCTGTGAATTGATGTGATTATGATACAAGTATTGTGACACATCGATGGGTGTATTCACAATATATGTATTGTGATGCATTGAATTATATGGCCACAATACATGTATTGTAACATGTTGATATGTAAATTATATATGAACTGATTAGAGAGAAATTAGTGTGAATAGTCACAGCGATACACTGAGAGTATGGAATAGGGAGCCGACTATGGAGGTCTAGGAGAAACGCAGGTGATGGATGACATCACTAAATGTGCACAATTTATAAAGTTGTGAATGCATCATATGGCCACACACGTGTTTCCTAACTAACACTCCTGATTCTACTTTTGCTAAGGGCCCTATAAGTGTATATGTTGTATCTGTATGCATGGATTAACCTACAGTTATTCACCTATTGCGTAAGAACTCATGAAATACTGGAGGTAACTATGTGATGTGATCACTTTGTATGATAAATTATTGAGTTGAAAATGAAATGGAATGAATATGTTATTGGTATATGTAAGAGTGATAAGATGATTAGAATATGATTAATAATTGGGTATTTTATTAATTTTATGTAAATATGATATGACAATTTTATAAGAATTAATGTGTTCATTTTGCATATGGATTGCAAATATATTTTCTAATATATAAATCATATTTTCTGTTATGTTTTAATGATAAGAAAGGAACTCATCCTTACAAAATGCTTTAGGTAATAGGAATGACGGTTAGGAACAAACTCTCAGCATTTGCGTATGGATTGGAACTGCTCTTAGAAAATATTGTTCATTATGATTTTGTATTTAAGTATTTTACATTGTATATATATATATATATATTTTGGTTAATAGTTTGTAAAGAGGATGTTTTTATATATAAATTTAAATTTCGTGTCTATACACTTTATATTATTTTAATTTGGTAATATTATCCAATTACAGTTAGATTCTGATTCATTTACTACTTAAATAAATCGTAAATATTTTTGAAAGAAAAAATTTTGAATTTCTCACATTTGAGAATACCCGATTTGAACAAGAACTAATTTATTCTTTTGATTTAAAGTTGGAAAAGATTTAAATTATTAGTTTTAACTAAGAAATGAGAAAAATGAGTTGATTTGTTATAAATTATTATTTATTTTCCAGAATTTAAAAAGTAGGATGTCACATTATTTCACTAAGTCTATAATTTGAGCCCCTTATTTCATCTTTCATTTATGGGATAAGATTTAATTTTCATATTTTCTTGTCCTAGAGAAATATGATGATGGTCATTAAATCCATATTAGGATATTAGATATCTTTCTTTCAAAATTTTATTGCAAAAAATGTCAAGTGGTAGTTATTCAAATTATCTCCCATCTCTTTCAATTATTTTTTATTCACTACAAAATAACATTTGATAAATGTAAATTTTATTGAAAATAAATATTTAGTCAAACTCATTTATATATAATTTGGTGTGACCTAATTTGTCAAATAACTAAATTATGATTTTTTTATACAAATTAATTCCTTCCAATTAACAAGGTTGAAAAAAAAAACATCTCTAACATTGTAACACGTACTTACTTTTGACTCATCATTTTCTTCATATATTATTTCCATTACATTTACTTCATCAACACTTTCTTTCATGATTATCCATTCATACTCTTGTATCTTCTTGTATTATCCAAATACTCTTTTATTATTTTGAGCTATTATTTCATTTTCTCCATTCTTGTACCATTATATTTTGTTCTATTTTTGTGAAGCATGACCAAAATGTTTATACCATTTCTATTAAACTTTTAGGAATGAGCCTAATCAAGTCTATATTATATAGGAGAGCTTGGTCTTCTTAATATGACATTAGGCTTATAGTTGCAACTTTATCTAATCAAGGTAATTGGACTTGTGCACCTCTTAGTTATATTCCCTTTAAGTTTCTCATTTTCAATCAATGTGAGATTTTTCTATTTTTCAACACCTCCCTCCCTCAAGTCTAATTGAGTTAGTTTAGTGTAATTGTGACTTTGTTTTCAATATTCAATGTAGACTTGTACTTTGTTTGAACCTTAAAGACAAAGTCTATCTTAATTTGTTGCTTAAACATGTATTCCTTTTTCTTGAAGGGCAACAATCTTTAATATCTTTATATTTGAATATTTTCAGTTAGCCTTTTTTTTTTTTTTTTGTTAAAAGACTTGTGATCTAATAAAAGAAAGAACAAGAAACTTAAAAAATTAACAAAAAAAATACAAAAAAGGAAAAAAAATAACTGAAAAAAAAGATTCAATGAGATGACTCAAACATAGCCTCAAAATTCAAGAAAAAAAAAGGGCACAAATCTAAGGAACAAATAAAGATAAACTTGTAGCTTTTAAGGTTCACATCTAAAGTTCAAGCTTAGGATGAAGATTTGAAAAAAAAAAAGTAATAATTATATTAATTTGGTCGAATTGAACAAGAAGAATACTAAAAGTAAAAAGAAGACCTACATCGTGTTAGTTAAAAATAGAAGTGTTAAATAAAGTGCACAAATCATAGAAAAAGTTACAACCTCACACAGTTACTTAAAAAATTGTCAACTTACAAAAAGTTAAGACTTGGACCCGACCCTTTTATGAAAGTTTCAACAATATCAGCATGCGAAGGTCGAACAGGGAATAATTTACGAGTGCAAAAACAATATCAGCATGCGAAGGTCGAACAGGGGATAATTTACGAGTGCAAAAAAGTACAACTGTTTGTCAAAATGCTAATTTACGACTGCAAATACAAAACGGAAAGTATTGTTGTACTGGTGAAGTCTTGTCTAAAGCTCGTTTAACCTCCACCTTTAATGGGACGACACTACTGAAATTTTGAAATTAGATTCAAATCTGGACACCTTTCTAATTCCTTCAATTAAGTTAATAAACCAAAATAAAAAGCTACCGTTGACAAAAACAAATAAATGAAAGGCCGTAGTTGAAGGTAGACGAGAAAGGCGTCAAGGAGATTTGAAGATTGATTTCAAATTTTACTTTCAAACAGAAATACGAACAAAATTCCAACAAATTGTAAAAATATTGAGTCGGTCAACTAGGTATTGGTAGAGAGAGATAAATTGCTTTACCAATTTATTAATCACTTAATTATGGAGAAAAAAAAAACAGATAAAAAGAAAAAATGGGGACACGATGGTCCAGCCACGTATAAAGGCTGGAGAGGATCTAAATTCGACCACGATATCCTTAAGTTTTACAATTATTTAGTTTCACTTGTTTTTGTTTTTCAAGTAAACTCCATCATATGTGTTTTATTTCGTCATGGAATAAGTTTCTAATGATTCGACGTATTCAAACAGTTTCATGACCGAGCTAGACTATTATTCCTAATTATTTTAAGATATTTCGAATAACTACTAAAAAATAATTGAAATTATAACTACCTTTTAAAGTAAAGGTAAATTTTATAATTGTAACAAACAAAATACTTTTACTTTTTCACAAAACCTGTAAAACTTAAATAATTTTTTCATACATTCTTAAAATCATTTTTCAAAAACAAGTGGGGCAATTATGAAATTGTCATAATAAGGAAACGAGATTACGCTTTGACGAAAAAGAAACGAGATTATGAAAAAAAAAGTGTGCCCACGTGCAACCCCAAAAAAGTAACTTTGAAAATAAACTTAAACCGTTGGACAAAAAAAAGTTAAATCAGCAAACCTATAACATCAGAAGTCATGTCAGTAACACTAAGTAGCAATGCACAACAACAACAATAATAATAGTAGTAGCTCTGGCTAATACAAAATGGAAAAACAAAATGTACGAAATCAAGGTGATGTTCATACCCCCGGCTTGCGCAATTCAGCAGCTCCATGTGCAAAGTGGCATCTCTCTCCAAAGGTGCAAGATCCTTTCGCAAAATTCTCACACAGCTTGGTCTTGAAGTTGCTTCCAGGGGGCGCAGGGGCCCCAGGAATACCTGGAGTGGATTTAGGTGGGGCAGACATTGATATAGTCAAAAGTAATTCCTTTACCATGTTACTTGCTTCCTTAATCTGTTCAAAGCTTCCCTCAAGTTCGATGTTTCTGAGATTTGGATCAGATTCATGCTCTCGTATTGAAAGTTTTGCTCCTGTTTGGCGACAGATCTGCTTTGAGTTCACACCACCCTTCCCAATGATAGCTCCAGCCAGGGAAGCTTCTACACTGATCTTCGCAGTAGAATTGGCACCAAAGCTAGCAGCCAGACCAGGAGGAGCCTCAACTCGACCAGACATACGACTGGCTGCTGTAGGACCCAAAGGACGATGGTCATCAATTGATGGGGCAATAGGTTTGCCAAGTTCCCATTCACCATGGGCAAAATGGCACTTGTCACCAAATTTGCAGCCTTCAGCAGTATTGAACTTGTTACATATGCGGGTTTTAACAGCAGACAGTGCAGAACCATTAGGGACAGGTGGTGGGGCTGCAATATTCCTCGATGGTGGAGGTGCAACAGGTTTTAGATTCATCATCTGGGCAACAGCATTATAACCGCCAGGAACATAATGCAAGAAGTGGCAGCTCTCACCAAATGGGCACCCAGCAGTGCTGCAAAAAGACATTACAGCACAATCAGATCATCATACACTGTATTGTTATTATATAAAATGCAAGCCTACCCTTTTATTTCCTGTTTTCGGCAGCATATAAGTGAACACAGTAACTACGCTTAGGAATGTAAATATGGAAAGAGAGCATGAATTATTTGGCAAGACATACACATGCAATTGCTGTGTTCCAATAAATTTTTAAAAACAGAAAAACTTCAAAACCAAATTCCTCAAAGAGAAACACTTGTGCAAGAGCGCTTAGACAAATACAGAAGAGGCAGGTGACACGGCACATGAATCCAGTAAGGCGCTCCTTACAGAGGATAAACTTGGGCAAAATTTTAGAATAGCAAATCTTTCTTATATTATTTCAATGCTTAATTGTAAACAAGTACCATCATTTTACATTATATACACCCAACAAACCTGAAAATTCTTATTTCCATTTTAAAAGAGATAATAATGATAACATGGAAAGACCAAGCTTACTACTGCTCCAGAGCAAATGCCAATCGTGCATTAGAGAAAAACAATGAGTTGACATGTATCTATATGGAAGTAACGTCTCATCATCTGTCTGTTTAATATATACCATCAATGGGGTAATTTATCAGAACAATGCTTATCACAATGTTATTGTTAGCTTATGACCATATCTCTTTTGGCTTTAATACACTTAACAAAGTGCACAACCATTGACAGGAAAAACCAATGGCTTTCAAACAGGTATAGGTTGATGAACAATAATACTATTTCCACCAAAAGGTTAGAGAATGCACTCCTCCATTTCAGTCATTTCAAAGGATTGAAACTGAAATTTTCATAAGGTGTAATCAAATCAGCTTCCACTTCAATCACCTATATCAGATAGTAGCAAAAGACTTATTAAACATTAAGTTGAAGACATCATTTGATACACAGCTTAGGCTTGGCAACAGACCAGGGGTTTGCTCAACCCAACACCATGCAGCACCCTTTTAATTAGCACCTTACATACCCCTACTCATGAATTCAAATACTCTATTCACATCCCTGTCCCATCAATTATATGCTAAAAACTTGGGTGGGGGCAAGCAGGGCAATGACTAAGACAACTTATTGTCAATTGAGAGTGTTTTTTTTTCTTTTTTTTGGCGAGGTTATCAGCATTTATTTGGGGTAAGGATAGGGGACAAAAACAGTAAAAGGATTTGATCCCCAATTCAGCCCAAACTGAACCCAGCCCATCCCACTCCTAGGAAAATTTCAATGTTGCCAAGAATGAGGTCCAACCTAGGACCAAAACAGGGGCACAGAACAAAATCAGGCAGCACCCACAGACCAAAATCCCAGGTTTGCCTTGTCACACTTCTCACCAAACGAAATCAGGTCTGGGCACAGAAAAATCAATGGTCAGTCATGGGTTCTTAATGAAATCAGGTCAGGTCTGAGCTTTATTTCTTTATGCAGATGGTCAGATCATTTAACACGGTAGAGTTTCTACACTCCAGTCCAGCACAGTGATTCTACACCAATCCCATAAACAAGTTTAGAACTCAGACCAAGGTAGTTAAAATCGGGATTTTACTTTAAATCGTAAAGGAGAGTGAAAATCGTAAATCGTAAAATCGTAAATTGAATTGTAAGATTTTATAAAATTCATATATATGATATAAATTCATATTATTCATATAAAATATCATAAATTAAGGGAAAAAAAACTTCAAATCAGTAAAAGTACTTAAACAACGTAGCACTCACAAATCATAATTTATTCCATAAGAATGTAATGCATTTACATGAATAAAAAATAGACCAGAACAAAAAAGATGCAAGAACAACAACAATAGATTTAGTTGCAGACCAGGTTGCACGCACTAGGAGGACTGTTGAATGTTGACAACAATGTTAGGGTTCAAAGCTGCTAGAGGCAAATTAGATTCCATAAAAAGGAGATATATGAAAGAGGCGTACGATAGGGTTCAACAAAATAGACTTTGCGAGAAATTTTCAAAATCGAAGTGAAATCGTAAAATCCCACAATTTGAGGGATTTTATGATTCAAATCGGGATTTTACAAGGATTTTACTCAATTAGGATTTTATCAACGATTTAAATCGGTGAGACTTCTAAAATCGTAAAATCGTAAGATTTTAAGATTCAAATCGGGATTTTAACTACCTTGACTCAAACCTAAAGTTGGCACTTCTCAAGGAAGGGAAAATCATAAGATTGCATGATACTATGCGTGGGATTATATATATATATAAAGTCATTGGACTATTTCACCTCTATCTAGAATTTGACCGAAAAATAAAACTCATCTAAAAAGTTAAGAATACAAGTAACGTGACAAATTGATCCTAAACCCACACCCAGCCCACCTCACAAGGATAAACAACACTAACATGCCTCAAGCTCTGTGGGGAGGGTATGCCTACCCATGGGTAGGGTCAAAATTAATAAGAATCTGAGGTTGAGATAGGCATTACAGGTTTATAACATAATTACAGAAACGCATACCAAACCAAATTGTAAACTATCCTGAGTTTCTCGAAGAAAATTCAAGGACTAAAATTCCAATATAGAAGTGGGACCCAGAACATCACAACAATTTATGATAAAGTACAAAAAAATTTCATAAAATATGCAGCACTAGTGTCCATTAGGAAAAGTCACGAAGGATTTATCAGTAAAAACATTTCCAGGAGCTTAGAAACAATAATATACAATGGTTAATTTAAGTTGACGAGGCAACTTGCTAATTAAAATTGGAACACCATTAAATGTTAAAAATTATATTTCTTTTATAAAAATATAGATGATTAATTACTCATAATCTGGAAATATTTTACCAAGCATTCCATTTCTTACAATACTGATCATAAATGTAATTTAATCTTATGTTAAACAGCATTCAAGGGAATGAACTGTCAAACAAAAATTATATTCATAAGGGAGAATTAACCAAAGCAGATCAGGTCACCATCCTAACCAGCAAAAGAAATGAAAAATTTTAAAAAGAAAAAATATCAAACGAGGGTGGTTTAAACTAACATCTCAATCAAATTCACTTCTAATTCTTGAATCTTGACCAAAAGTTTCATAAAGTCAGAAAGCAAGATTGGATACAGTTGGCCAGTTCAAGTTATAGGTGACAAAAAAAACAAATTTCTCTTTTGAAAAATTTAAGTACAAAATAGTGATACTAAATTTTATTGTATATGACACAATTTCAACATCATACCTGAGCCAACAACCAATCAAAGTTCACCATATTTGCTTGTTAATAGCTTACCAATTGAATGCAGTAAAACTGAAAGGTTGTTAATTTAATAGAAAACAACATTTACACAAATTAAAGAGCAAAGTAATCACGGACAAAGAGATGATCAATTTATCTTTGATATAGTGTTCCCAATGCTAACAGTGATCCTGCAAATTGTTATCTTTATCATACTCCATTAATAAACCATTATTCCGTTACAACTTGATTAGACCAAAGAACAGTATGTACCTGTATAAAAGCTTTGAACATCCAGTTAATTTGCAGAATTACACAACTTATTTTTATAGCAATTAAAACAATTAATTCTTAAAATAACTTGTAATATAACAGTTTTAAAAAAATGGAAAATATGCAGTTCAAAATATTTATTTAGATAGGAATAGATTAGAACCTGAAAAACTTGGTACATGGCTTCGATTTGCTTCCTACACCAGTTGATAACGACTCCATTTCTGTTGCAAAACATTAATTACTTTTTCTCAGTTAATGTTCTCTGTTATTAATCTAGTACACTATTACAAAACTGATAAAATTTTATTCAAAAACTATTTTTTTGAGTTTTGAGTAATAATATATTGGAATTAAAAGGGCTAAGTTTCAACTTAGGGCCATGTGAATTGTACCCCCTCCATGCTTCTAATTGAAGCAATCGTCCTAACACCCCAGGGTGTGCAAATTACATCACCCGACATTGCTATGTCATTTAAAAAAAAGAACTGTGCTCAAATTAAAAAGAATTTCATCGGCGAAAGAAATCTCATCATCTTTCCTTTTCAGTTTCTTCACATTCACTCTTTCCCAGTACATGAATGCGACACGGAAAGAAAGAGAGAAACGACATGACTCTTCCTATAACGTTCTTGTTTTTCGGCTAACAACCTATTACAAGTGCAAATGTTTGTCAAATGCACAATCCCTTTAACCATTTCAACAAAACAAACGTTTCAGAGTTTTAATGGAACCAATTGCTTCAAACAAAGGCATGAGAGGTAAATTGCAAGTAACCATAAGCCAAATGGATCTCTATAACTTGGTAAACAAATAAAATAATACCGTGTTTGGATTAACGCTTAAATGCTTATGGATCTACATTTACTTCAACACCACTATTTATAACTTCTGCATTGGATCCATGTTAACATTTTTCAACATGTGTCCAAACACGCACTAAGTATATCAAGTGAAACATGAATCAAACCAATTCACAAGTTCTTCTAAGCTTTCTCAACAGTGTTATTAGCTATTACAAGCAATTTACTAGGAAACACAAACGCAAATAAATTTCAAGCAGAACCATAGACAAAGCTAAAAAAAATGGGGTATGGGGAAGTTTTGCAATGTCAAGTAAGAGAGGTGAAGATGAGAACCTAATTTGGTCTTCTTAACGGTGCCATTAAGGTTAACGGCAGCTTCGGGTCTTCCTCGCTTGCGGAAATCCATTCCAGCGAGAAGAAGTAGATCGAGATCCGAACAAGGGAATCGCCTCCAAATGAATAAAGTGCAGAACGAAAACCCTAACCCTAGAGAGAGAGATTCAAAGCAAGGTAGAGAGAGAGAACATAAAAGGAAGGTGGCAAAACCCTAACCGTGAAGTTCAATGAAAAAGAGGTTTTGGAAAGGGAAGAGAGGTGACGAAAGGAGGAGAAGGGTTCGGAAAACAAAAACACTGCCACTGCAAATTGCCAATATTAGATATATTATTGTAAGAGTGTATTATAATATATTATTGTAATAATATAATTTTGGTTCAGATTTTTATACCGTTAACGACTCATATAATTTTTAGGGTTTATAAAAATTAAATTAAATTAATCTATTATTAAATTAAAATTATTTTTCAATAGATTATTAATGCATTTAGATTTGCATTAAAATATCTTTATATATATTTACTTAAATATTATTAGTTATAATTTATATCTCGAATCCACTTTTACAATTTTGTTTATTACAAATTGAAACACACATTAAATTTGTAAAAAAATTATAAAAATTAAATTCTAATTAATAATTTATTAAATAACTTTATTTTTATATCTAATATATATTTTAAAAATATAAATTATGAAATTATATATCTATAAATATTCAATTTATTTAAAATCTGACATGCATAATTAATTCTAAAGAGAGTGATTCTAAATTTTAATTTTTTAGAATTTATTTATATTTTAAATAATTTATTATTTTAATTTAATGAATAAAAATATATATTATTAACCATTAAAACTTTTATTCTTTGTTAATTTATAAAATTTATTAAATTTTAAATAAAAATTTTAAATATCTTAGTTTTTATTTTAATTTGATGATATCTTAGTGCTTGAAAATTCACTAGTTATTATTAGTATCAACTTTGTTAACTTTGATTTGAAATATGAATTTAAATTTTAAAAATAATAAATTCTGTTTTAGAGATATATTTATTATATTTTTAATATCAAAATATTATTTTTAAATACTTAACTTAATTTTTAAAGAATTAAAGTTAATAAAATGGTATTATTATTGGTGATTATTGCTGAGTTGTTATATTTAGCGAAACACAATAAACAATGTTTAAGGATTTTAAAAATGAAAATTTGAAAAGCGAAAGGGGTGAAGCAGTTAATATTTGGTGTTGGATTCCGCTGAGGTGGGATGGGAGTGAAGTCAATACGGTCGCTCTCAAACCTTCATTTCTTTATCTTCGCTCACGTGTTCACCTCACCTCCTTCCATCGTCATCTTTTTATTAAATTTACTACCTATTAAAAATATGTTTTAAAAAATATTATTTTTTTTCATAATATTTTAGAATCCTAATAAAAATAAATAATCGTTTCTAAAACCAAAATACACTTATATGTGAATAAAAAATAAAAAAATACTTTTATCTATTTTTATATATTAAATATAAGTCTTTATTTTTAAAATAATTTTTAAGTGTTATTTTAAATAATAATATATTTTAGAGTTGATTTATTTATTTATTCTAATGTAATATCTCTTTATTTAATTTTTTATTTTTTATATTTTATTTTCTTATTTTAAAAAAAATTATCTCTTCAAATTTTTTTGTTTAATATAATAAAATCTTTATTATTTAATATAATAGAATATTCATTCTTTTTCAAATTTTTAATTAATAAGACTCGTACAGTATATATAACGTGCCAAAAAGTCCACTAGTTTGTCGTTAATCTAACTCTAAAGCTCTTTTATTGATTATTAATTTATTCTGCTAAATTATCATATCTTATCATTATAATTTAAATTTTTATCTTGAAGAGAGTAATAAATTAGGAAACATCAAATTTTTTATTACATTTTTATTTATACTCTACATTAATTTTGATAAATAAATAATTTTGTCATTTTATTCATAATATTATTTGTTTTACTATTACAACATATATTAAATATATTCTTCTTGTTTTATCGTATATTTATATATATTTTTATCTTATTTTGTTCATAAACGGGCTGATAACATGTAAAAAAGATATATTATTAGTTCTCAACTCTCAAAAGAAGATTCACGTGAGTTTATGATTTTAGATGTTGAAGTATATAGCAACCCAGAAACAGCATAAGTGAGTACATATAAAGCAGTGGATTTAATGAAGATAACAAAGCATCAAATTATGTCATGAATCATATGCAGTGGATTATTTGAGGAAAGCCCATTGGCTTCTAATGTGTACAATATAATGTTACAAATCCACAAAATATGGAAGATAAGATTGCATAAGCCACGTAAAAATAATACTACTGATAGTAAAAAGATTTACAGAAACATTTCAATTGGATAATCATGAATTTATATATAGTTCTCAATGCCCCATGTACACTTCAATAGTCATCAGGTTGACTTCATGGATGCTATACCAATTTAGATGAGCTGATTGAGAGTATTTTCATATATTGGAGATTAATCACGTCACATTTATATTTCTATTGAATTAAATAATTATTATGAGCACTTTATTACTGATACTAATTATTTTTGTAGGGGATACACTGACTTTCTATGATCTTTTTTTTTTACCTTTCTGCAAGACGTCGTTCTTGCAAATATCTTTAACTCTTTTCTATATAATAACGTTGGAAGAATGTACCTACAAAAGACACTCTGATAGTAAAGTCAGACGTCGGTATAGATAATAAATGTTATTTTCTATTTAAAAGTTAACCATTTATCTGTTCCTCTTGTTTTCTTTTTATAAATAATTTATTCGGTCAATGGGCTTCATAACTCTGTCATGTCTTTAGCCTTGCGATTAAGTAGATAATTATTGATTATCTTCTTTAATTTATTTAATTATCTTTAGATTATCTTAATTGGATAGGTGTTCGTCTACCTATACCAAAGAAGTATTTGGATTCCTTCTTTCATTATAGTGGCCGAATAGAATCTCTTATCCAGTATACTAATAATGGTAAATGTGTGTTAAAAGAGTTTTATTAGCCAAGTAAGTTCTACAATAAAGTCACCTTAAATTATTGTCAAACATTTGTATAAGACTTCATCTTTGAAGTTAGTTGTTAATTTATATTATATGAAGTTAGTTGTTAATTTATATCATCCCATTTTTTTCTTGTACTTAGTGTGAGTTCTATCTTTCACATTTTTTGAAATATAGATGAATACATAATTTTACAAATTCCAAATTTTTAAATTTTAATTCATAAGAATTATGGTCCATTTTTTTCAATGTACTTCTAATGATAAATAACCTATTTATATACATAAAGTAATTTCGTTTTGCAATAATTGAATTCTTTTTTTCTTCTCACAAAAAGTTTTTTGAAAAGTGTAGAAATAGAAATCTAAAAGTATAACAAATAAAGTAAAAATATATATACTTTTTCGTTAGAACTAGTATGTGACCACTTGGAGGATTAATTTTTGTTTCATATTTAGGAACACAAAAGAGTTATTCCAAAACACAATCAATGAGCATGTTGCTATAACAACATGTGGGATCAAATTTTACGAGCAATTAATCAACCAATGTAGCACCTTGAAAGAACAAATATAATTATGAGAACTATAACAAACTCTACTAAACTTTGTTCACAAGATACTTAAATTAAATGTGCTCAAACAGACACTTACATCTAGTTTTGAGAGTAGAATATTCCATATAAGTAAAAGGTATAGAGGAAGAAACTTCAAGCATTAATCTTCATGTACCAATAGAAAAAACTTCATTTTTGACCGGATGAAATGATAACAATGATTTATTGAAACTAAAATTTGAATACATAGTTATTAATTGCAAATTCAACACTATTAATTGGATATGTAATCATATATTTTACTACAATATATGTAATCAAGTAATATAGCATTTATAGAATTGATACAATGTTACATAAATCATAACTCGAACTTGAAAGTATAATGTTTATCTCTTACATGTGGTTAAAAGTGAAACCAAAAGCAATCATTCAACATTTATTCTCCAACACCATACACCTGATCTACCCTTCTACTGTCTCGATAAAGTTGGAAGCCAAGATGTATCAAATATGTTGAGATGTTTTTTGGTCATTCATCAATGTTTGTGTGTATTAAGGTAAGCTTTTGGAAAAGTATTATTCACTTTACTGAATGGAGGGAGATATAGCATTTTAAAATTTTAAACTTTTTAAAGAGTTAACATAACAGCTAATAGATATATAATAGCATCCTCTCAAGAACCATTCTCCCTCCTTTTGCACAGATATGCATTCAAACTTAAACCCATGAGCTTAGCTAAAATGCCATTTTTCTTGAGGAAAAAAATCATCTTTGTGAAGAAAAATTAAAATGACATCATACAATGCATGACCAATAGCAGCAAAAAAATTATTTTTCAACATAAAACCAAAAAAAAAAAAAAAAAGCATGCAAACACTTCCACATACCAAGCTAGTAAAAAAACAAATAATCAAAGTACCATCTCATTGCTCATTTTACACAAACCAGGGAGGATCGGGCTACAAATCCAACGAAAAAAGAAAGGAAAAAAAATGTCTAGGGGAGAGAAGAAAAATAAAGCAAAGAGATGGGATTATGAAGGAGGAGAAAAAAAAATGGAATGAGAAGAAAGCAATATAAAAGCTCTTTTTTAAATAATTGAATAATATAAAATATATAAATAGAATAGCTGAGAAGAAAAAGCTTAATTTCGTGGAGCAAAATAATTTTCTAACAGTAGGACACGTGTTTAGGTGAAGGTTTTATTTTCTTAGTATGAAATAGATATCATTTAAATAGCACATAGGTCTCACATTTTTCAAACATTCTTCTAAGATCGAACCCTTTTTAAAATTTCCTTTACAATCATAAATTAATATAAAAACATAAAATAAACATGTGAATCTTATTTTTAATTTAATATTAATAGTTTTTATTTATATTTTTTAAATTTTTAATACATTTTAACTAATAATTAAAAATGTGTTAGAATGTATTATTAGTACTTCTTTTAACTAACATAATGACTTATTTTATTTTAGTAAAGTACTAATTAATTCTCCTTGCATAGTTATATGTGTATTTTACATGTGTTATTTTTATCTTTTTAGTACTTATTTATTTTATCAACCTTATATTTTTCTCAAAATTATATTTTCAACCATAACTTAAATCTTAATTAATTATTAGATAACAGGTTTCCATTCTTTTATTATTATTATTATTATTATTATTATTATTATTATTATTATTATTATTATTATTATTATTACTACTACTACTACTTATCCCCTATTATTATTTATTTTTTATTTTCTCATTCCTTATAATTATTATTTTCTAAATTTTTATAAAAAAAATATTATTACCTTTAATATTAATTAATCACATTAATATAATTTTTAGTCCTTATATTTTTTTTAAAAAAATTTAATCTTAGTTTGTCTAATTTTTTTTTATAGTTTTTGTTTTGTATAATATAAGTGTTTTAGTTCATCTTATTAACATAGTTACATAAACAATAGACATGTGACAGCTTCTTTATTTAGTCTAAGTCATTATTTAGTGGTCAATAAGAATAAAAAATGTTGATTTTGACAAAAATAAATGAATAAAAAGTATTAAAATGTTTGGAGCTAAAAATAAATACTTGTAAAAATATATATGTTTAATTTTGTGTATTATTGATGTAAAATAAATTACATTGTTAATTAAAATATATTTTAAATATATTTGTTATTAATTATTACAAAAATTAATAATCTTTTTTATATGACAATCTATGATTGAATGAAAATGTAAAAATTTTTACACTATCAGTGTATTCATATTAAATTCAAAATTATAGTAAAGAAATTAAAAATAAGAAAAGTGGGTTGAATATGTATTCAAAGAATTTTTAACGTTTTTTAAGGTAACTTTTGGAGAAGGTTTTAAGATCAAATTAGCAAGAATAAACATAAAATATTTATACTAGTTCAACCTTAAAGCAATAAACTATATCAAATCCTTAACTTTTAGTAAGAATTTTTACTATTACTAAGAAATTTTATACAAGTGGGTATTCAAGTTCAAGTAAATAAATACTTAGTATTATTTTAAACAGTATCTCTAAAAGCAAACAAAAGTCTTCCCAAATATTATCACTCAACTTCTTTAGGCTAATGCACTTTTTATACAAGAAAGAATACATAAAAAGAAAATTTTAGTAAATATTTTTATTCTATTGAACAAAGTTTATGTTAGACACTATATAAGTTTAGATTTAACAAATTTTGTTTGCCAAAAATTTTTCTGACGAGTTCAACGACATTTTTTACTCAAACAATTTATGTTTTTGGCTTCTTCTTTTTATCATTTTGATATAAGACACAAGGATCAAAAGAGAAAATATGTTTTCAATTTTTATAAATAAATATAATTTTTTTCTTTGAAAGTTTTGCATTCTTGGTCAACTCTTCATCTTTATTTTAAAAGTTTCAAGCTTTGCAATAATAACTTTCTATTTAAACAAACTTGTTTATAAATTAATCACTATATTTGAATGATCTTCTAAATCTGTCTTATCATCTGTGTTATCTTTTAATTTTATAGTTGATCTATCATCTCACATTTGATTTTTACTAATTATTTGATTATATTATCTTACATATATTTTTGAAACACTTAATAAAAAATTATTTATCAAAACTTTGATTTTCAGTCTTCTAAAAATTTTGCTTTAACAAAAAAATATTTAAGTCTAAAGTTATATTTTTTTCTCGTTTTATTATATTTTCTAATAGAGAAAATTAACCTTTTTATTTTTAACATTTTATTTATTCATTTAATTCCCATTTTTCTAACATTTTATTTTTATCATCTCCCTTAATCTCTTTTATTTACTATTTCATCTAAACAAAAGTTCTATGCTTCAAATTTTCCATTTTTGGATCATAGGCTAATTGGGACTCATAGCGTTGGGCTCTTTCACTGTCAATTTCATATTGTTAGATTTAATAGGGCATAGATTCTAATTAGTCAAACTAGTAAAATTCTATATTTACTTAACTATCAATGTTTAAAAATAATTATCCATTATAAATTACTTAGAAGTATAAAATAAGTCAAATAGATTGCAAAATAAAAGCATACCTTATGCTATTTTAATTGAAAATTATGTTTGACTTATACATTATAAAAACAATCAAGTGATATCTTAAGAAAAAAACAGTTACTACACACATAGAGAGTGAGAAACAATTTTTGATAACCATAGTAAATGGGTATTTTTTTAAAAAAAATTCTAAAATAACTCAACCTCCATTAAATATTTTAAATTTCATAAGATTAAAGATAATAAAACCTATAAATGTTAAATTATTATAAACAATTTATATAACTTACTCAAAAAGTGTTATGATACACTTTTTAACATTTTAAACAGATGCATGTACTTTTTATTATTTTTTTTAAGATTTTTTTAAAAAAGAAAGCTAATAAGATTAAGAAAACTAATATATCTAGTATATTAATAAAAATAATAAAGAAAATATTAATACTTTTTTATGTGATTAATATTTATTTAAATTTAAGATAAATATTTGTTAAATTCTTAAATTATTTAAAAGTTATTATTGATATACAAATAAACATGTAATTATTTGAAAAAAATTTAATTCTAATAAAACTTTTAAAAATATTTTTTAACTTAACATATAATCTTAAGTTTGAGTCTCACTGAATACAATTGTGTTAAATACTTAAAACTAAAGATTTGTCGCCTAGAGTAATCACCCTAACTTAAACAAGATTGTTTTCACTAGAGAATAGCTATAATTTAAACAAATAATATCATTTATTTTTCTATTTTAATATACACTAAATTTAAGATTACATAAAAGTGTATTCTTATTGTATTTTATCTTTATCTAATCATTATATTATATCATTTTTATCCTATTATATTTACCAAACAAGCCCTTACATATTCCTTTCCTTAAAATAACAATATCACTCTTATACAATTTTTTTTTCTCAAACTTAAAATATTTTAAATTAAAAACAAAGAGAAAGTTATCAAATAAGATAAATTAGCAGCATAAAAACATGTACCACAATAGTACACAAATTTTACTCAAACCTTTGACCAAAAGAAAAAATATATAATATATTAAATTTAGAAAATTTAAAATAACGGGTAAAAATGGTGAAAATTCTATATTCGTATTAGTTCCGACGTACTTGAGAATTATACCCCACTTGTTATAAGAACGATATGAACCAATGAATCGCCATTAAAGTTCCAAAATGTATGAGCGCATAGTCAAATTTGCTTTGCTGGGAAGATGGGCAGATTTGCTTTAACTTCTTTAGTTTCATTGAAAGGGAAGTAAATCAAATTTATCGTACACACAGCACCCAGTTTTAGACATCTCCTTTGATTTCAAAATTCCTCATATTTATCCCAACATAGCAGTCCTTACCCAAGGATTAAAATGCTCGCTTAATATTACCATTCACGAATTTTTCAATTCTAATTTAAATTTAAATAAGCCAACAAACATCTTTTACCGCATAGATTTATTCTGTACAACGGAGAATCGACGAAGTTTTCATTCACAGAACATCTTTTACCATATAGATTCATTCTATACAACATGAAAAAATGGTTAAATTTTCCCCCCGATTTCAAACAATACAACACCTATACATGACATTTTTACAATGCTCTTTGCCTTAAAGAATGGTTCCATCAAATTCAGGTCATCGGGTGCCACCACATAAAAGGTGAAACGTTTCGTTTGAAACTCAGATTGGGCTGCCTAACATGAACATTGGAGAGTTGGAATTACCAACATTGTTCCTTGAACCCAAAAAGAAAAACAAAGAAAGAAAGAAAGAGAAAAAAGGCAACACCATTATAAAAAGATTGACTAGGCAATCATGTATATTTTAGATTCCATGCATATGAATTGATGGTGTAACTCATTTTCTCAATGTTAAATCATTCAGAATGTTCATAATAAATGGGATTAATGAACGGGCAATAAAAAGACTGATTTGTTCTGCTAGCATAACAAAATGTTGCCAGTTAAAGAACTAAACCCTACGCACGCCCCAGTTAAACATATGTACGCGTGCAGGCAAATCCACATGCACCACCATTAGGGGAGTAAAAAAAATGAAGGCTTCTTACCTTGTCATTTATGTCAGTACCTGCGTTGTTCCTATGGCAAAATGGTGCTGTCAATTTCGAGCTGAACCCCCAAATCAATACATCAAATTCCATTAGGAAATTAAATTATTGACAGCGTTCTAAATCTCTATATTTTCATATTCTGAATCCTTCCCAAGGATTGCTAGAATCCTCCTCCAACATAACATCCTAGAGTGTACAAACTGCAAAGCTGGTTCATTTTCACCTGTTTTTGTATCTATATCCAAAAATGGCATGCCCACAAGAGCACTGTGCCACTGTAAGAACCATTATTCCATATGTAACCCCACAGTAATTCATGAACTGACCAAGACTTACTTGCCAAGAGCATGCCAGTACTCCAATACCAAAGGTCACTCAACTGCATTTTAGGCTTGGTTTGATCCTTATCTAATGTCTGTATATTCGGGGAATGCTGTACAATCATCAAGGTCTGAGATTAAACCAGCTATATAATCATGAGGGACCACACCAAAACTCTCCATTTCCAAAGAATTTCCCTCATTCAAATCAAAGGAAAAATTGGAATCGATACCATCAATTCCAGCTTCATCCGGAGTGGATGAAGTGAGATCAAATTTCAGATCCTTAAGCGGGGTTGTTGACTGAAATAATGATTCGGCCTGATGGTGATGCATTTCACTAGGATCTAATGCAGCTCTTTTGGCCTTTGACCTAGAAGGCTTAGCAGAGTCAGATACAGAAGACTTTTGCTTTCCAAAGGACTGTACCCTGGATCCAGGTCGAGCCCTTGTATCGTTCGTTGGAAATGCTGATGAAGCCCATCCAGAACTGTCTTCTTCACAAGCTCTTGCTGCCTCCCTGAAGGGGAAAAAACACAAGAGAAACCACCATAATCAGCTCTCCAACAGTAACCAAGAAAAGAATTTACTTAATAGACTAAGGAGAAAAGACTAGGGTAAAGAAATTTCAGTATTGATTGACAGCTTGATTCGTTGAGTAATTCATTAATACCTCCTTATTTTCTGCTACTACAAATGCTTGTTTAGAAATTTATCTAAACTAGGCCTATATTTATTTATACTATATATTTCAACTACTCTACATTTACATTTATAAACATTTCCAACCTTGATGTGCTCAATTTTTGGGTAACACTTTAAATTTTTTAAAATTTCATTATGACTCATTTTTCTTCGGAAAAAAAAAAGCATATTAAATTTTGTTTTTGTACATAAAGAAAAAATTAATCTTTAAAATAATATTTTTTATGAATAAATAAAAATATTATTTATACATATTAACATTCATATTTTTTTCATGTTAGTTTAATTATTTAATTCAAAGATTGTTTATTATAATTCTCTTCTCATGATTAGGCTTAAAATGTGAAGATAAAAATGTTTCCTGAAGCTAATTTCTAATTAAATTACATTGATTAGCACATTAATGTTTAGAAAATAAGGGTAAACAACTCTATCAAACGAAAATAAATCACAAGTTAAAATGTAGAAAATATTTAATAATTTTTTGAATTAATACTAAAAAATTACTAATAGGTCTACCCATGCATGCCACAGGTACCAAACGAGTTCATTGGCTAATCAAACCATGTACTAAAACTCACTTGTATTCAGCATACCTGAATCGATTTTCAGCACTGGAAGAACAAACTTTAAGATGATCATCTTCTGTTTGCTTATTTACAGGCGATGATGATTCAATCCCATGTATTGATAAATTTATAACAGATGGAAATGAAGATAGTGTGTCACTATCCTCTTTCAGGAACTCCAAAGTTATATCCAGCTGTTCCGCACTCACTGACATGTCTTCCTCTTGATTAGAGAGGATGGTTTTGTCATTCTCTTGCTTACTTCTGCTGTCATCAAGTGCAGCTGCTATTAATTTCTTGTTCTGGGCCAAATTAGCAAATGTCATCCTTTCAGAGGGTTTCTTCAAGGAATTTTGTGAACGTTGGCCAATAGAAGTAAAGAAACTCTGATCGAAGTAGAGACCATTACAGGTGGCCGATGGATTTTGCCTGCGGTCAACATGTGATGCCATCTTCCAGACAGATGAAAGCAATGCAAAAAAATGCTTCTGCAATAGTAACTCTCTATTTACGTGCTCAGAAGCAACATCTAACAGTAGCCGAATGTTATCCTGTCAAAAGTGATTACAGGGAACTAAGTTTCTCTTTCACAATTTTCAATTTTGGGATAGGAATGGTCATTTATTTTCTACATCGTAATAGTAAATAAGATTTGCAATCTACTACAAATGAAATGACAAATAAAATTTGCATGCATATAAAAAAATGTGGAGATAAAATAGACATGTTAAAATTGCCAGTCTAACCTCTGTAACTTTAAGAAGAGCCTTTCCGGAACCTGTACTGTTGATTTTCTCATGATTTGCATTGTCCATTGAGTACAAGACATATTTTTGGAAAAGTTCTCTGAACCTCTCACAGCAATGGACAGGATGACGATATCTCCCCCTGTATGCCCCACCAGCAGTCATGCCATAAAGTGTTTCACTAACCAAACTCCAGTTAGGACCATATTCATGGACAACTGCACATAATATTACATCCTCCTGAGGCAGCCAAAAATCAGTAGATGGAATACAATCTTTGGACCAATGATTTCCCTTCTTCAATTTTTCTGGTTTTATTGTCCATATCCTTTTCCCAGGAATCTGAGTGATGGATATTTTTCCTCCTATCTTACTCCGGCTTGTTTTCTGTTCCAAGTCAACAAGACTTTCACACATCTTTGATTCTCCATGTTCATCCTGCACAACTAATGAGTTGGACTCTAAATCAGAAGCATAAATATCATGATGATCCCTCTTGGTCTTTTTGGACTTCTTGAGTCTCTTTTCTTCTACACCATCCATTGTTAATTTAGACTTCTTACGTTTTTTCTGCATAGGTGAATTTGTTGACACAAAATCCAAATTAGTGAGAACCTCATCATCTATAGTCATTGGCTCTGCTTGTGGTTCTTCTTTCACAGGTCTCAAGCCAGAATTTAAAGATCCTTTCTTTAGAGATTTGAACTTTGCCTTCTTGGGTTTCTTTTTATGTTTGGGCTTTGAATCACCTGGTGTTTGAGTCCTGCCAAAAATTGAAAGATATATCATTCTCAATTCAGGCACTCATATTTAGGCTGTAACCTAATTCGCATGCAAAACTTTCCATATATTTCAAACTTTCACTGGTAAGGCTGTGGAAGAAAAATCAGAACAGATATTCTAAACAACCCATTAATACCAAAACCCCAATCCCAACCCCTGCAGAAAACATAGTTCGAAGAGGAATATTACATCTACAAAGTGCGAAAAATTGTTTTCATATGGATGTTATAGATAATTAGATACTTTTTGTTTTCATATGGATGTTATAGATAATTAGATACTTTTTCTGAAGGCACTCAGAGGAGACAATGAAAGTTCAGTGCTGCCTTACTTTTTAGAATCACAGATTTCATCCTCAGCTTCTTTCTGTTTAGCTTCATACTCGAGTTCCTCCATTAACTACAAGAACATAATCGCAAACATTAAATAATCATTCCAATAAGAAGACCAAAAAACAAATCAAACTTCATCCACCACACCTGATGTTGAGCCAAGGCCTCAACTTGCTGTCGATATGCCATAGTTGCAAAATCAGCATCCCAGCCTATAATATAGACCAATACAATGTTCAATCTCACAATTATTTCAACCATGCTAAACATTTTAGCAAGTTAATATGTATAACAAGCCATCAGCTGAAACAAGTCAATAAATATACTAAACATTGCAAGCATCAGAAGGCATCTTCAGATCAATTTCAACTTTAAAGATCATTGAGAAAAGGACAGCTATGTGCCAAATTAATTATATTACAAATTTTAAATGGTTTCAGGTGTTATGAACATACAGAGGAATGCATGTTTTATAATTTCTCATCTACTAACTATGCTATAGACATGTTATTTAATAGAGTCCTGAGTTAATCACACATTCATGAGGTCTAATATTGACAACCACTTTAAAATTTATAAACATATATAACAACAAATCAAATTTTATGAAGCAAAGGGAGCAATGAGGTGCATACTTTCATATACAAGAGGTTCCTCATCTTCATCAATTTCAGCTTCCATTTCTTCCTTGTACTTTTCAATGCGATCCAACTCCCATTCTGTGTCCTCAATCCTGACTTCAGATTCCAAGGCTGTTTTATCTATAATTGGATCCCACAGTTCCAGAAAACGAATGGCATATCGGTCAATAGGACGTAGCTCATTCTCAAAGGCAGAGATAGCTTGTCCAGCTGCAGCTGCAGCTGCAGCCATCTGTTTGACATCAGCCAGCATGTCAACATCATCTTCTTTGACAGAAACAGTGAGTGGTGGTCTATCTTCCTTAGGATCAGATCCATTTAACATTAACGCATTTTCTTTATTCAAATTGGAAACAGATTCACCTAATTCTGCAGGTTCATCATCCTCATTTGCATATTCATCCTCTTCAAGTCTCCCAATGGCTTCTTCTGTAAACTCCTGGTTGTCCACAGCTTCTTCCAGTTCAACTCTCTTCAATGCCATATAATCTGCTTCATCTTCTACACATTTCAATGCAGCTTCTACATCTGCATTAGTTACTGAAACTTCCCCATTGTTCTGAGTTTTCTCCTTTGGCATATTTTTTATTGAAAGTGTTCTATGACCTGAAAATAGTTCCATAGGATCAAGCTTCTTGAAGAACTCAGTATTATAACCCCCACTTTGTATAACTAGATTATCAAGTGCACGCTTCTGATTTGCTTTTTTCAAAATATTCTCCTCAATGGTGCTTTCACTAATCAATCTATAGATATGAACTTCTCGTGTCTGACCAATTCTATGGCACCGATCTTGTGCTTGTTGGTCCATAGCAGGATTCCAGTCACTATCATAAAATATAACTGTGTCAGCTCCAACTAGATTGATACCAACACCCCCACTACGGGTTGACAAGATGAAAAGAAAAAATTTGGGGTTAGTGTTAAAACGTTGCATTAAGGTCTGCCTCTCCTCTGGTTGGGTTGATCCATCTAAGCGCATGTAAGTATAACCATACAAATTAATAAATGCCTCCAATATGTCAAGCATCTTTGTCATCTGAGTGAATATCAGAGCTCGGTGACCTTCTGATTTTAATCTTCTCAACAAAACTGCTAGCTCCTGCAGCTTCCCACAGTCAAATTGTATAAGACGCCTATCAGGGAAATACACTTGCCGACGAACAATCGCAGGCCTGATTGGTGACAGTAGTGGCAACAGAACTTCAGAGCATTCCTGCTTGTAAGATGGGTGCAGAAACACATTTGTCTCATTTGTACTGCACCAGCAAACAGGAGAGGGTGCTCGTGCGGCTGGAATTGCAAACATGAAGCTTTCAACCACATCAGTCATCCTTTGAAATCGTTCAACTGGGGAGAGAACAATGTCAGCCAGCTTGGATGAGTACAAGTACGAAACAGGGTTTGCTTTCGCCTGATGAATATCATATACAGGATGCCTTATGGTAACAAGATTCCTTAGAGTTGTTGAGTACATGGGCCTTTTTTTACATCTCAAGGAGTTCCACCATGCCATGGCTGCTGCATGTTCCTTTGTCTGCCTAAGCCTCTCTTCCCAGATAGCCTTTTGAATCTCTTCAAAAATGTTAGATCCTTGCAGCTTCTTTTGGCAACTCAGTCCAGGCCTAATTACTTCTAGGTCAGCCATATCAACATGTTCCATGATTAAAGCTGCAGGCGTCTCAATAGCTTGCACTTCATCACTCTCCCAAGCAGTCATGCTATAATCAAGATGAGTAAATATAAGACCTAAACCTCTTAGGTCCACTGTTGAAAAAGGACCAGGCAAGAGCATGGAGCAAACAGAAGAACTTAACTGAATATCAATACCACCCATATCAAAAGAACTGACAATTGGACGACCCTCAAATAGGTCAGGATGATTGCAAACTTTACGAAGTTGCATGATAATACTAATCATCCCAAAGAAATTGGCACTTGCAAGAGTGGCTTGGGTCTCTGAGCTAGCAATGAAATCTTCATACAAATTACGCTGTCTCTTTGATAGTCTACAGTATATGACATGCTCATGTTTCATTGGAAGTTGCTTCTCCACATCTCGCTTTAATCGACGGAGTAAGAACGGACGAAGGACATTATGCAGGCGATCAACAACCTCCTTATTAACTTTTTCTTCTCCTTCTACCATCCCTGTTATAGGATTACTAAACCAATCCTTGAACTCTTGATGCGACTGGAAAACATGGGGCATCAAAAAATGCATGAGAGACCACAGTTCCATGAGATCATTTTGTAGGGGTGTACCAGTCAAGAGAATCCGTCGTTTTGAATTGAAATTTAAGAGTGTCTGCCACCTTTGTGACTTCCAGTTTTTAATTAGATGAGCTTCATCTAAGATCAAGTATTTCCACTTTTTGCGCTTGAAAACTTTGGAATCCTGAATAACTAATCTATAAGTTGTTATGCATACATGAAAAGAGTTTGGTTTCAACCATCCTTGCCTCTTATGTTTTCTCTCCTTTGCACTTCCAAAATAAGTCAAAATTTTAAAAGCAGGACACCATTTTAGAAACTCTGTCTCCCAGTTAAGCATTACACTAGTTGGTACCACAATTAGATGTGGGCCCCAAATGCCCTTTTCACAAGCAAGATGTGCAAGCAAAGCTATAGTCATAATTGTTTTTCCTAACCCCATTTCATCTGCCAAAATTCCATTCAGTCTTTTCTCATACATTGTGACTAGCCAATCCAATCCAATATGTTGGTACTCTCGAAGAGAATTCTTGAGTAGAAAAGGGAACTTTGTACGCACTTGAGTTGTGGAAAATGTATTTCCAGTTGGTTGTGCTGATCTTGCAGCAGCAGCTGCATCAGCAATTATATGCTCGCTCTCTCTTTTTTCCAAATTTTCATTAGGTGATTCACATTGTTCTTCTGCCTGGGACGGTACAGCAGTGAGGTGCTCACCAGATTTGACATCTTCATCCATAGGAACAGCAGGATCCTTCTGCTCAGCATCTTCAGGGACTGGAGAATCCAAACGGTCCTCCGATAAAGCAGAAGCATAATCAGATTCATCTTCCCCATCATCATGATCGGTTGGGTCCTAATAAAGAAAAGGAAAAATAAGATAAATCAATGTTGTAGTATCAACGAATCAAGCCATAACTAACAACTAGAGAAGAATACCACCTACCTTTTTATACCTTGCAAGCAGTTCCTCAACAGGCATATCACTCTCCTTTTGTAATAATGCAATCTACAGATAATAGTGTTGTCATGAAGGGTAGCATACGAGTGTGTGTGTGTGTATAAAGCAGACTGAATAGAACATTTATGGGAAATTATCCCAAAATTCTAAATCAGTATTAGGAAATAATGTGGGAGAAAGATAAGCTGATTAGCTCTTAACCTCATCCTTAGGATCAATTGCATCAACTCTTTCCAATTTTTCCTCCTCAGATAAGGTTGCTTCATCATCCTGATAATTGTGTAATGGAGTTATAACCCAAAATTGACAGGCAAACAGCAACCAAGAAAATAAAACAAGTAAAATTTACAAAATACTTTAATGATTCAGCCAACAAAGCCAATAACTTCTTTAATATAAAATCTGATCTGATACAGTTATATCAAACAAATTATTGAGTTCAAACAAATTATTGAGTTCAAACAAAAGTTGATCAATATGGAAGGATGCCAGAATCCTGACAAGCAAAACTTATCATATACTGAAATTGGATTTATAAACATGAGGTAAAAGTTTGGTCTATCAGCCAATCACTTCACATCGAGCCACTTATTTGTTTCAACTACTACTTAAATCCCACTTCATGTACAAAGGCTTCATAAATCACACTTGAATATATAAGAAATGTGCATCAGAAGTTCAAAACAAATAGTAATTTGGATAGCTGCAATGACTGAAAAATAGTTTCTCAAAAATATTTTATAGAAGTTTTTAGAAACTAAAAATCAAAAAATCAATCAAACACACTAAATGGTTGGGTTGGAGTAGGAAAATAAAACAGTTATTTAGCTTAGGAATATCACTCGATACCTAGCCTAGAGACCTTGCTGAGGTAGTGAGGTTCATGCCAAATAGAAGGCATCTCCAAGCTTATCAGTCAACCAATAAAAATCAATTGATAATTTATATGCATCAAAGGTGCTTTGTTTATGATTCAATAGTAACAGCATTGGCTACACTTTATCACCCATTTAGCACTTCAAAGATTATGTATCAGCAACTATTTTAAAATGCACCTTATTTTAAATTATATGCAAGTTTCTTTCTTTTATTTCTTCCATTTATGTGGTGTAGGGAATGAAACAGATAGATATTAGTAGCTTTACTCCAATCACAGCTTCAGATGATATGAAAATGTCCCAAACAAAACCTCAGTTCACCAGAACATGTGGAAAGCAGAGTATACATTTGAAATAACAAAAATATTGTGGTTGCTTTGCAAATTCTTAGAACATTTCAGACATGGATCATCTGCAACAGAATAACATAGGGGCCAAATACACAACTAATAAAGAGAACAGAAAACATAATCTACATCAACAACCAACCATACCAACCTCATTGATGATCAAAACCAATTGAAAAAACTAAAAAAAGGAAATTATAGCAATTATGTCCTTGCACATAGTATTACCTTATCTTCTGTGCCAAGCAAAAAATCGCCGTCTTCCTGACAATAAATATTTTAGAGCAGATGTCAGGAACAAAGCATAAGGAAGTAACAGCCACACAATGATAACAGAAGAAAAAAAGTTGCAACAAAGGTGAAAAAAAATAGAATGAGTGATGGAGTGGATAGAGATTGTTAGTAATTGATTACCTGTAACATACTATAAAGTCATATGAATAAGGGAAGAAAGAATAAATTGAATGCAAAATGAGACAGCAAAGCATGAAACAAATAAGTAAAGCAAACCAAAGATCCCACTGCAGCTTAAAGAATATAGGAAGTTATCATGAACCCACTGTCCTAAAAGGTTAAGCTACTAGGTGAAAACACATGAATGTTTGGTTTCATGAGACATCTCTATCTCATTAGAATTATGGTGCTTTAGGTATTGAAGGAGGAAGAAAGATAAATGATAATTGATAATCACTAACCCCTTATTTATACTAATCATAATCCTCACTAAGGATTTGTATTATTCAATGCCGAAGCTTTCAGCATATATTATCTCATTTATATTCCTTGCATGCAGAACCACAGATCACTGCCAGATCAACACCATTGCTGGCACATGATTGCATCCTTCCCAAACATGCCAAGGTCACTCAGATTGGTAATGACTCATTACACCTAAATGGTCCCAAACAGAGCCTGGCATCTAAATTCAAGATTAAAACCTGGGACATGGACTTAATATTTCTAAATCAAATTCTCAAAACTACAAACCAGCTAGTTTGAGGGTTGAGCTTGGGCCAGTTTCCAAAGATCATGAATCATGGATTCATTCAACGGCAGTTTTACATTAACAATAAACAATGCTTCTGCTTTTCCAACAAAGTGGAAAATTTATCTATACTCAACTGAGTCACCAACACCTCTCTTGTTTGAAGTGTCATGGTGTTGGACATGCAACACTGACACTTCTGAGACACTTGTTCAGCACATGTCGGACACTTCTCACTAGGAGTCTAATTAAAAAATTAATTTTTTCAGCTCAAACACCGGAGCCAACACCTCTATTCGGTTTGGACACCTGAACAAACACTTTAGTATAGATGAACACGCATAACATAAGTATTTGAAAAAAAATTCTTACACTTTTAAAAAACTTAGCTTAAATTTTAATGTAAAATATTAAAAAAATTATCTTATTTTGAGATCTTTTTGTAAAGAGACCAAGTACTTACATTATAAAATAATGTCTCATAATATTTTTTAATATATATATATATATATACATATATATGCAGTGTGCCAGCATCTTATATTTTTTACTTTAGCTATGTCAAAGTGTTCGTGGCTGTCACAATCCGTGCTTCATAGATACTCATTTGGCTCCTAGTGCCCAAAGGAGTAAAGGAATATCTTATATTTAAATGAACATCTTCATTTTGAAAAGTCAATTTTTTTCCAAAAATCAGAGTTGATCAAGAGGGGGGTGGAAGATGGAAAGCAAGGGGAGATGAAGTGAACATATAGTAAGGCATCAAGCAAAAAGGTGCATTGTTGGCCGTCTAATGTATTATTCTACATCAAACTAGCTGCGTCAATTATCAAGGAAGTGCCATGTCGAAGTCAAATGTGCAGAGCCCTTACTGTGTGGGTAATTTATTATAAAGGGTACATGTTTGTCTAAGAAAAATTAAGATGCGATATCACCTCTTCATCAGTAAAATCATATGCAAAATCTTCATTGACTGTTTCACTGGGAAACTCTTTTGGACTTTCAGTTTGGCGATGCTCATACTGAGATGGATTGTCTGTTGGTGTAGCTACATCGCCATTACTTTCATCCTGTTATTAAAAAATGAGCATTACACTAAGTCCTTAACTCATTCTTTTATTCAAAGTGGTAAATTTAAACACATACAACTTACACAACGTCGACCAGGGACCATGCTTGAGTTGCTTCCACCAATTTTGCTGTCAGATAAAAGATCATGTCCATTTTCTGCAGCATATTAACCATGCCCTATGTCAGAAACAAGTATAATTTGTGCAAAATAAGAGGGGCACATACCTGATGCTAGTCCTTCCTTATTATCACCATCACCAGCTCTAACAATTTTCCCATCATCTTCATCATGTTCTGGACTACTTTCTTGCATTATTGATTCTCCTAATTGTAAAATAAACAATGCATAAGTGATGGCCTACCAAGGCAATCATAATAGATGTATTATGGCAAAGCTGGCCACCAGATGCTTTGTTTAGAAAGGTATAAATGGGACCATCCAAACAATCACCTATTACCATCTTTTCTTACATGGTCTATATCATTTTCCCTTAGTGAGAATGACACAGCAAACACAAAAGAGGACGGTTGAGATAATTACAAGGTGAAGTCTCATCACTTAAAATAATATTAAAAAATCTCACCTTTCTCCTCAGCATAACGCTTGAGTAACTCCTCAATTGGAAGATCCATTTCATCATGCAAAGCGGCCAATTCCTCTTGCCTTTCTTCTTTAGTTATTAGAGCCTCATCTTGCTCAAGGGTTCGCTCATCATCCTCCTGGAAACAGTACCATCATCAACATAAGTCCAAATATGGCTTTGGATCAATCTTCACCCATTAAAACACCAAGAAATAATCAGGTCAAAAACAAAATTAAAGTTGTTCAACTTCCAAGTGAAACTCATCATTGGGAAAACATCCTAAGATCCACATGGATAAATTAACAATGTCACAATTAGAAAATGCAGAATGCATAATACATAATGCCTTTTAAGAGATATTTAATCTTCAGTACACACGTAGTTAGCAATGCCACAACTAGAAAATACACTAGAAAATACACAAGCATATGATATAATTCTTTGTTAAAAGATAAAACACATAATAACGTAGGAATATAATGCTCTCTTTGATTGGAGGTTTAACAAATAAAATGAAACAGTGCCTGTGGTAGTGGAAACCTCACATATCCACACTATCCAGAAATTGTTACATTTATTAGCAAACCAACTAATAAGCAGACTATTTCTATGCTTACTTTACACAGAAAAACAAAGCACAATCAATTCTAATTATCAAGCAACATATACCTTATATTAAAATTTTCAAAAAATACGGATTCAGTCATCAAACAATGGGCAGTTTACAAAACCAAGTTCAACCAGATTGAAAGGGGCATAAATAGGGCAGCTGAATGTTCTGTAATATATTCCATAATAATGATGGCATCCACTTGATATTAAATAAATACATATTAAAAAGTAGAAACTCATAATCTTTATCTAGGCTTCTCAGAGTGACAAGTTGCGTTCACAGACATGCCAAAAACACAAGACTAAGCATTTTATGATATTAATAGAACAAATAGTCTTAAAAAATACCGATTCATCATCAGATTGCACACCATATTCCTCATCATTGTCAGCTGCATCTGACTGATCCTCTGCAACAATTGGATTGTATAATGTTAGAAAAGTTATTTCCATTATTAACTTCAAAGATATGTCTCTCTACTCACCAACGTTACCTTCCTTAGGTTCATTAATAATGTCTCCATCTATATTTTTGTCTTGAATGCTCAAGTGATGCTCCACAGAAATTTTCTCCGCTGATTTATAAGCATCCACAAGATTTTCTGCCAACATTGTTGAGTACCTGACAACAATATATATTTAAAAGAAAGGGTCAACAGAGTCAAATGGGCTGCAAGTTACTGCAAAAGATAAGTGAAAAAATAAAAAGGAATCTACCTCTCAGTTTGCCCTAAAAGAAACTCAAGCTGTTTGTCAAGGGCCTTTTTCTTCTTTTCATCAAGTTCCATTTGATGCTTGTAAAGAACCTGGGACAATAGACAACAAAATGGTCATCAAAGAGAAATTGTGAAAATTATACCACCAAACAGATCAATTTAATGAAAATGATTACCAGCTTTTCTATTTTTGTCCAGAATTTCTTAACATCCTTAGAAATATTTATCGCAACTTTTCTTAACCGCTGCTCTTCTTCCTGCACAAGATGCGGCTTTCATCACACATGGTATTACAGTGGGGCAATAAAACATGCACACAATCCCAAATTATGCTTTCCATAACTTAAAATACTGCAGTCACAGTAGCAGGTTTTCAATTGCTTTCATTTGTAGAAGAGAGAAAACAACCTTCATCTTCTTTTCACCTCTTGTAGCCTGATCTAACATGCCTTTGCTAGCTTTTAAAGCAACTTTCTTTGCCTGAGCTAATTTCCATTTCCTCTCTGACTCAAAGTCCTGCAAAACAAAAAATAAAGCAAGCAAAATCATACAAATTAAAATATTGCCACGTTGAACATTACAGATTTTGAAGGTAAAACTGGTGGGTACCTTTGATAACCACACCATTTCTTCTAAGACATGGTCCCAGTGAGTTTTGGGTCGCCGGGGCTCCCTAGGAGCTTCAAGAGCCTAACACCACAAAAAGAGCCATAAATTTAGAAAGAAAATGGAAGAGAACAATATTGTCAAAAAAATGAGCTACTAAAAACATTCTCATTGGACAATTTTTTTCTCTCCTCTTTTTGGCTGTTTCAGGAACATTTCTTATCCACTTCAAAACTCTTTATCTGAAATCTGAATGAAATACAACTTTATCCCCAAAAATTGTTAATATTCCAATTCTTCCAATATCTAAACCAAGCAAAATCATATATTTCAGCATAAAGCATTTGAGACTTTAGTTTCCTCTTGAGTCTTCATTTGATGACGCTTTCCATTAGACCCATATAAAAAATCAAGAACCAAACTTTTAGTCACTAAATTTAATCAAAATTTCAAATCACTTGATCAATTTCATGAATTTACGATCTATCTTCAAATTTAATTTCCCATCCAAAATGCAAATACATTCACACAAAAAAAATATCAAATCATTCTTCCTCATACAAAATTTCAAATCACTTGATCAATTTCATGAATTTATGATCTTACTTCAAATTTAATTTCCCATCCAAAATGCAAATACATTCACACAAAAAAAAATATCAAATCATTCTTCCTCTGCTTATTTTAGTTTTTCTATATTGCTCTGCTTAATTACATCTTTTTAATCAATTTGGCTAAGTATTGTTTGATTTATCTCATTTTAAGAAGATTTCTAGCCCTCTGTCTAGATCACTATTACATTATCTTTCTTTTTGAGTTAGCAATCTTTTGGAAGCCCACATTTGTTCCACGGTTTAGGTATACTGGAATTGGATCCATCTTCCAACATGACAAGGAGATTCATGAGAATGTCACACTACAACTCGAGCTGATGGATGAAATTAACAAATATTTCAAGCTTAATTTCTGATAGCAAGATCCTATCAAACTCAAATTAAAATTCTATCAGATAGGGACAGCTATAAAACCAAGAGTGTTCCATTATACTGAATTTTAAGCAACAAAGTGTCAAAAAGGATAAGAAATAAGAAAATTGAGAGTTATGAGGCTACATACAAAAAAATAATAATGAAAAATGAGCACGTCCAAGACAAATTTGGAGTAGTACCACTTGAGGAAAAAATGACATATTTGGCTAAGGTAATTTGGTCATGTGAGAAGACTAATAGAGGCTCCAATGATAAAAGTGAATCAAATGGCACATAGTCCAAAGGCCTTGCTCTGAATGATTTTACAGAAAACTATTTTTGATAGATCACAATGATGTTGACTAATCTACATCATTTGTACCCAATCCTACCAGTACTAACAAGTAAGGAAACTGATACATAAACAAGTTGCAACTTTCATTACAAATTAACATGGAAACTCATGTTTCCTAAAATAAGTCACAAATGGATCACAGAATTTTCAACTAGGGAAGGGTGCAAAGATAAAGATTTTGGTAACTGAACAACATCCTGAAAAGACTAACTTATCATTAGTTGATTTCAGCATACGTCATCCACTCAATTTGCTTAATATAATGACAACATATTTAGCATTAACAAATGAAAGAAATAAATATCAACATTAAAATGAAGTTTGCTTTGTCTCACATTTTTTTCTACTGAATTATGAAATAGAAAAGAAATGTAGATGGGGTCAGCTGAAAACTGTAATATGACATGCAGCGTGTGCACAGCAACAAGAAACAACATCAGCACTTCCCCTTCAACAGTTTTTCTAATGAAATAAAATAACAATGGATTTACGTTTCTTATCTAAATTCCTGACGAGTGAATTCCCTTACTAAATTGAACTTTGCTCATCCCAAGCCCTGGCAGTGCATGTCTTCGACATGCAACCAACAATTTCCCAGCAAACAATCATATTTTCAAAATTGAGAGGGTAAATCCAAGAAAAGAACAATATCTCTTTGGCCAGTTCACTTCCAGACTAATTTAAAAAAGAAAATATCAAAACTCATCTTCCTTTAATTAATTGTCTCAAAACATAAAAAAAAAAAAAGTGTTCCAATTCAAAACTCTACATGCAAGTGACAATTTCTCATTTCAGAGGTCTCAGGGACTTTCAATCTCATTAATAAACCCAATTTAACTTCTTAAACCTACCATGTGTGTGTAGGGGGTGTATCAAGTGAGAGCACTAACCGTGCAAACTCACTAAGGGACATTGTCCTTCCATACCAAAGCACAGGTTCCTTATCCATAAATCCAAGGATTCATCCCAACCAAACCAGGTTAACACATCAAAGGGTAGCTACCTTTACTTGTTTTCACCATATAAATAAAAACTCTAATTTATCACTCCTAGCGTTCTCTTTAGTTAGTGGTTATTGTATCAGCCAGTTCCAATTCACCATCACCACAATTGTTTTATTTCAGCTAGATTTACTTCATTTTAACTTCTAAGCCCACACGAGAAGCAGCCATCAATATCGCAGCTGACTTTCCCGATTTTTATTTTTTTTCATAATTTTTGGAACACCAAAAAAAAATTGTTGAATCCAAATCGTTCAAACTTCAAAGGCCAAAATCGCAACCCTCACAAAAACAACAACAACACACACAGCCAGAAATCAAAACCAGTGACTACAGCTTTGTTCAACACCAAAAAAAAAAAAAAAACAACAACAAAGAAGAAGAAGAAGAGGCGGGAACTAACCTTTTGCCGTTTAGCTCTGGTCTCATGATCAATCTTGGACCTGGGACCTTTAGACGCCATCGCGTTTAACACAACTCAAGCATTAAACATATCTGTTTTGCAGCACACAAAAAACCCTAAATCTCGGGACGATAACTTAAGGCAATGCGTGACGAAACGAGAAACTAAGCGAGAGTGGCACCCTGAAGAAGGAACCGTACCTTATATAGCGAGAAGGTTGAAGAAATCGTTGCAGTTAGGGATGGATAGGGTTAAACAAGGTTTAAGAAGAAGCGAGTGTCTGGTGGAGAAGAAGAAAATGAAGAAGAGAGAGAGCTGTAGTGTATGTAACTATGGAAAAACCTAACAGAGAAGAGAAGGAAGAAGAAGAGAAGAGAAAGGTCGAAATTAGAAGCCACGCGCGGCCAGGTGGACAGAGTGCTTCTTCATCTTACTAGTCAAAACGCATCGTTTCGTTGCATTGTTGTCCAATGCTCTCTCGGCCTGGAACCCCAATGTATCACCACTTGCCTCTTTTACCCCTTTTATTCTTTTTAGTCTCTTGGGTTTACTTTAATTTTTTGACTTTGGACAATGTATCAAAATTGTAAGTGAAAATTAAAGTGGAGAGGTATTGAAGATTCGGAAAAACATTTTTAATAAAATTATTGAATTTATCAATGACACGTTATGATGTTCTAAGAAAATTATTAATATTCTAAAGTTAGATCAGTTGGATATTTTAATTTTTGATAAACTCTTTGCTAATATCTTACTTTGTAATTAATATAAGTATAAATTTAAATAAATAATATTTTATAAAAACATAGATATTAATAAAATATTTTAATTTTACAAAAATTATAATATTTAAACCATATAATTTCATTGATTATTTAAAAATTTATACTCGCATTTTTTAAAAAACGTTACCTAAATTGAGTTATTATACTATGTTATTATTCATATTCAAGGAGTTTGTATTAAAATATATTTTGCCTTTTTAAAAATATATTGCATCATCATGTTAAAAATATATTTATAAAAAATTAAAATTAAATTTAGCTATACTTAAAGAGAGTTTATAACATATTTTACTTCTTTTATAAGGATATTAATAAATATGTACGTTGTACAGATTTACACAAAATATATATATATATATATATATACATATATATATATATATTATTTAATTTAATTTTAAAATAATTATAATTTAAATATAAAAATAATTATTTTTAATATAATAAAAACATAAAGAATGTTAAATAAAAATTTTAATTATTTTTTAAAATAAATTATCTATAAAAAATAAATATAACAGTTAAAATTAATTTATATGTCACTTTAAACATTATAAATTTTAATAATAATAATTTAGTTATAAATTAATAAATATATTTGTGTGTTACACAAATTTTTTTATATTTTTATTAAATTATTTTATTTTAAAATAAACAACATATTCTAATTTAAATATAAAAATATATAACAATAAAATTTTACATTGAATAATATTAAATATAATTATATTAAAAATACGATAAACACATTTTTATATATAAATTTTTATATTTTTTATATATTTAAAAATTTTAATTAATATTTAAATAGAAATTAAAAAAATTATTTAATATAAAACTTAATCTTTATATCAATTAAAATTATAAATGTTGATATAATATAAAATTTATGAGTTATATATAAAATATAGACAAATATTATGATAACAACAAAGTTAATACATACTATATTATGTCATAATATAATATTATAATTATTAATTATAAAATAAAAAAATAATTTTATAAAGTATTTATGATAATGTATAAACTATTTTAAATTTTAAAATTAAATAGTATATATTAATGTTATTACTGGTAAAGATATTAATTATTTGAAAGAAAGAATTATAATATATAAATGATATAAACTTTATAACAATTATGCACCATATCTTTATAATTGTTACAAACATAAGGTATGATACAAATGATATAAACATCCAAGAAATTCAAGAAAGCGAGAAATATTTAATTAACACGAATAGAATAGCATTTTTCATTAATACAATTGTAATGTCATCAGATAATGAAATCATACCTTCTATCATTATATTATGAAATTGACACAAGAAGATATATAAAAATCACAACTCTTTTAAGAAAAAGGAAATGTAATTTCTTTTTTTAAATTAAATATTTTATATATGTCCGTTCATATAGTTTTCATGTACCATTTAACTGTATTTATAATATTAAAATCATTTAATTACCTATGTTACATTTTAAAATATAACATAAATAAACTTTTGAATATATAAAGTCAGTAAATTAAAATTCAAAACTACTTTAAACTTTACAAAAATTACATTAATATGCTAATATTAAAGTTATAAAAATTGAATAAATATGTTAATAGTACTAAATTAATATTAATTTTTATTTATTTTATTGTTATATGACCTTTTAAATATATAAACTCATTAATTTAGTAATTTTTATTTATTCATTCTATTATTTCTTATCAATTAGATAATAATTATCAATTTCTAATAATAAAATTTAAAGTAAATCGTTAATATTAAAATTCAAAACTACCTTAAACTTTGAAAAAATAAATATATTAATATATGAATATTAAAGTTACAAATAACAAGTAAATATGTTCATTGAACTAAATTAATATTAATTCTTATTCATTCCATTGTTGCATGATCTTTTGAATATATAAATTCAATAATTTTTATTTATTCATTCCACTATTCTTCATTAATCAAATATCAATTATCAGTTTTTAATAATAAAATTTAAAATAAATTATTAATATTAAAATTCAAAAATCTCTTAAACTTTGCAATAATAAATGCATTAATATGTTAATATTAAAGTCAAAAAAAAGTATAAATATGTTAATTGCAATAAATTAAAATTTAAAGTAAATCATTAATATTAAAATTCAAAACTACCTTCAACTTTGCAAGAATAAATGCATAATATGTTAATATTAAAGTTAAAAAACGTGTAAATATATTAATCGCTCTAAATTAATACGGTTTTAAAAGCAAATTCTAAAGCTCATCTACTTTTATATAAGTCAATTTTTTCTTTTTAAAATATTTATTCTTTGTAATAAGGTAATTGTTACAAGGGTGCTTACCATGTTAAAGAATGTATGATCTTTAAGTTTAAAAATAAAATATTAATTTCAATTTAATGATTTTTATAAATAGTTTACCTATAATATATAAGTGCACTATATGCAGAGTCAAGAGTTTTATAAATAATTTACCTATAATGTATGTATGTTATACACATAGTCAAGAGTTTTGTAATTATTTTTATATCAGCAGGTTCAGTTACATAGCAACTATAGTAATATCAAAATTTAAAGTAACAATAAAATTTATTCATTTCTTCTCCTATTCCTTACTAATGAGATACCTATTATCAGTTTCCAATAATAAAATTTAAAGTAAACCATTAATATGAAAATTAAAAAATATCTTAAAATTTGCAGAAATAAATGCATTAATATATTAATATTAAAGTTACAAACACTAAATTAATATTAATTCTTATTCATTCCATTGTTGCATGACCTTTCAAATATATAAACTAATTAATTCTTAGTTATTTATTCCACTATTCTTCGTTAATCAATTATCAGTTTTTAATAATAAAATTTAAAGTAAACTATTAATATTGAGTTAACAATCACACTAAATTAATATTAATTCTCATTCATTGTAGTGTTGCACGACCTTTCAAACATATAAACTCACTAATTCTTATTTATTCATTCTAATATTCCTTATTAATCATATGATAATTACCAGTGTCTAATAATAAATTTTAAAATTTATTATTATTAAAATTCAAAATTGCCTTAAACTTTGTAAGAATGAATGTATTAATATTATGTGGGGGCCGCGAGTACCTAAAAGTACTCTTAATTCATGAATATTTTGGAATTGAAATGATTAAATTGGCATGAGTTGAGAAGGTGAATGATTGTGTTCATGAAGTGATAAATCAATTATATAATCAACGTACTCTCCCTAGTTACGAAAGAGTTACGTAGCATGGATAGTCGCAAGGAAGGAACATATCATCACACAATAACAAACTTCTCAGTTACGCATCAATCACAAAGCAGAAACATATCATCACAAATTCAATACAATCATCATGTTCTGTCATTTCAGCAAATATTCATAAGATAGTAACATATTATCACACAATTCAACATAATATGCCAAAGATCGAATACATTCAGACTTAGGAATATATCACTAGAAATCATACTCGTCTTAATTAAGTCTTCTAACCTAAAATTCAATATTTATACTTTTTCATAATTTAACACTTAAATTATTCATAGAGATAATAACTTTTAGCCTCAGTTATACTAATAGAATTTGAGTAACTTGCCTCTAGGGCTTCTTAAACTCATTTTTGTTAACAACTTTTATTATGAAATCAGTTTTAAGTGATTTTACACAACTCAAAACCCTTTTGTTATACCAAAAATTTCTTTTCACATATACTTTCAAGAAAATGTTATAGATTGCTATGTAAAAGAAATCACCTTATTTTTTCTCTAAATCAATCCATATAGAATGAAATATAGGGCTTGAGAATAACTCCCCTTACCTAAAAATGAGTTTCTAAAGCTAAATTCTTCGTGAGCTCCAGAGAGAAACTCCACGTCCTGACCAAGAAAACTATCTAAGAACTAGAGTTTTTTCTAACATTACCGGTATATTACTATTATAAGAAGAGAGAACAGAAAAATAAGAATCTTTATCTTTATATATATAAAAGTAGATAAGTTTTAAAGGATAATTTACCTTTACAACTGTATTAATATTAACATATTAATGCATTTATTCTTGTAATAATAAATATTTAATGGTTTAATTCAAATCAGTTAAACGCATTTATCTTTAATTTGTAGTTTTGATATATACGAAAGGTGCAACGTTTAAGGTAGTTTTGAATTAATATTAATGGTTTATTATTCTTGTAATGTTTAAGACAATTTTAGATTTTAATATTAATGTTTATTTTTAATTATTAGAACTTGAAATATTAAAGCAATTAAATTAAACATTATTAATCTTGAGATCATTTTTACTATTTGAAGCCTCTAACAAGGAATTTTAGGTTACTTTACATCTTTTTTTTTTTTTAATCTTCATATTAGATATACTTTCTTCATCTATAAACTTGTCTAATTGTTCTTCCTTTATATACTTGACATCCTTATTAAAGAACAACTATTACTCGTATATTATGATATTATAATTTTAAACTTGTGTACCATGCCAACACTTATGATATTATGAGATTATATTTTAATTTAATACAAAATCTTAAATTAAAAGTTTAAGTATTGGAGCCCCTCTTTCTCTTGTTATTA